GGAGGGAGGGAGGGGCTGGCCCAGGGTCATCCAGTGATCTTCACGGTCCAACAGGGATCTGAATCCAGGTTGCCTCTGACCAAGACAAATGTTCTGATCGCTACACCACACTCGCTCTCAGGCAGTCTGTCCCCCCACCCCCACCCCTCAGTTGAATCCCCGTATTACGAGTGAGTCAGCTTTGCTGGGAGAAACCTTCTCGGGATACAGAAGGCACTGGGAGAAAGCCGTTGGGGCAGGTAGGGATGAGTTCCCATCATACACATGCCCTCTTTGCTCTCCGTTTTATACGTAATTGGGGCAGACCTGGGCTAAAACGAATCAGTCTGCTGCCATGGCATTAAAAAAAACCCAAAGCTACCATGAGGGTTACGATTCGGAAAACAAATGACATTCCTAAGCTCCAACCCGCATGAGCCAGACACCAGGTGCTGTGAGTACAATTAGCTAGGACTGGGGAAGAAACGGGGTACCCCAGTGAGCTCGTGTGCACTTCTTGGTGGCAACTCCCCACAGTCATGGCTACTCGCGCTGAGCAGAGCAGGTCAGGAGAAACGTGCCAAAGGAGGAAAAGGTCAGAGAGAGAGAGAGAGAACCATTTCTTTTTTTTGCAAAGAGAGTCAAAGATGATGTGACAGACTTTATAGCTTGTGGTGCATATACGTTCCCCTTACCATCCCAATAAACAGGTTTCACAGTTGTTGTTTTTGGATCAGTCCCCAAATTTACCAGACCTCTGGGACAGACCAGAGGTGGCAATGGGACTAACGAGATGTATGCAGACAAGGCAAAGATTATACCATGGTTCGACTCTCTTCAAACTAGCCACCCCCCCACCAAAAAGGCCCTGACCTTTTTGCATCTGCTGAACATCACTCCCCCCCCCACGAGTGAAGGAAGGTTGTGGCTACGCCTATGAGAATTATGAAGGAAGCACGTGACATCAATAGAAAGGGGATGGTTTCTGATGTTGTCAGGGACTCTATCTTACTGGTTTTGTAGCTGAAGAAAGATAAGCCACAAAAGGGAGGACAGAATGGTTGTGCGCATGCTCGGACACGCCTTCCAGGGATAACAGAGCGAGGTATCTCAACCACCATCACTCCCCATCCCCGGGAAATACTGCTTGGCCCCTTTCCATATTAAGTGCTACAGATTTTGCATTTATTTCCCCCCCACAAGGAATTGTCCTTGGGAGGCTGGAAGGAGGAGGAAGCGTTCTCTGTCAAGGAGGGCATTCTGCTCCTTGAGCATTTTTTACAAAAATAAACAAGATAAAACGGTTGGTTTTGCGCGGACAAGAATGTAAACATCCACTTCGTTCAGCCCTTCCCAGTGTTAGAGTTTGAACATATAGACGGCCTCGGTGTTCAAGTCAGTTTGATTCTTGAGCGGAGATGTAAACAGACCGGGGGAAGCTGTGTCCATACAGGCCCCTCTTGCAAAGCTGCAGGCGCCTTCGGGGTTACCCCGCTCCTCGATGGGACTCCCGTTGACCAGAGCCAAGTTTTTCAGCCTCTGCCTCTCTTGTGCCTGCTTGGCCCGGTTGGCGATGTACCGCACCCTGCTCTGGCTCCGGGACGAGGACCTTCGGAGGAGGCCCATCCCTTCCTCTTCCTCCTCGGATTCATTCGGCTCGAGGCTGGTGGGTGAAGTGATGTCATTCTCCAGCTGGAAGGTGGTCAGCTTCTTCAAGCGCTCCATTAGCTCGTCCGGGGGCTTCGCTGAGGACCTGGCAGCCGCACAGCGGTGCTGCTCCCGCATGGAGCGGGTGACGAAGCTCCGGCTGATGCTGCGGTACTTGCTTTCAAAGGTGCACGAGATGTCGTCTGAGGTAAGGTCTCCGAGGCTTTTGGATTTGGCCTGGTTGGGCTCCGCTTTCTCCAGATCTTTGGGTTTCAGATACGACTGCCTGAGACTTTCCATGTACAGCCTGCTCCAGGTGTGCTTTCTGGGGACGGACAACAAACCGACCTCGGGGCCCCTGGCTAGGGGTCTAGGGCACAGTTCATCTTCCATTGGCTGGCCTGACCTCAAGTTGGGGTTGGATTTGCTCTTAGTCACCATGGCCATTTCACGCCCAGAGGCAGCATTCGCAGACCACGGGCGAGCCACTCTTCTCTCAGCAACAACTTCGAAATTCTCATGCCGGATACCTAGGTCTGGGAGGCTTTTCCGAGCAAGGTTGGGCAAGGAGAGATCTATGACTGTGTCATTGGAGGACATACTGGATGAGGAAGACATACTATCCCGGTGGCTGCTGGAGTCTAGTTTGCTCCAGATACGGTCATTGACTGTGGCATCAGAGTAGACTTCAGCTGCCGGGGAGAAACCACCAGGACGCCTTGAGCAGTCGCAAAGTTTGTGCCCTTCACTCTTGGACCGCCTCACTACCACATGAGACTCAGGGAAGGTGGTAGACTGAGTTACGGGAGTAGATTCGCGAGAGGAAGTTGGTGTGGTGCTGCTTTGATGTGATGGCCCAGCTCCGGTGCTGTCCACGGTTCTCTTGAGGCTCTCTCTTTGCTCCAGGAAACTTCCAGCTGAAGGGGGCCACTGGTTGGCCAATGCTAAGTTGTCTTGAGTTTGTAAACCAGGCCAGTTCACACTGCTATGAACCTCTCCCCAGCCATTTGCTTCTTGGCTGCTTTTCCGGACATCTCCCTGTTGTGACATGCTGGCAATGGCAGTGTTGGGAGCAAGAGGCCTTTTTTCTTCTGGAACTGCCACCATGTACTGCCTTAGCGGAGCTTTCTCAGGTTCCTCTGATGGGCTGCCTCTGTCTGATCTGATTTCACGGGAGTGATTAGGCACAGATCCTTCACTGGGATCACTGGCAGGGGCGGCGGGCAGAGGGAAGCAAAAACCAGCAGGCTGGTTCTCATTGGCAATAAAGGGTTCTTCAGCGATAGTCTCCAGGCTACATAATGAAGTGGTTGACCTCTGCATTGAGAATTGGCGGACATCTGGGAAAAGAAGAAAACATGGGATGCGGGTCATAAATGAGGCTCATCCACTAACGAAGAACAAAGGAATTCAGAGCTGTTACAGCTAACTTTTGCACCCTATACCAAGCCGAAAAAATATCCCCAAAATAACATATCTGTATTTTCTGGATATTTTTTTCAGCTGGATATAGAGCCCAGTATTTATTTGGCTATCTGAAATTGGCTGATATGTAAAATCCCAAAAATATTCAGGGTTTTTCAGGACCGCCAGATAGTTGAAGGTAAAGGGTTTAAACCAAGCTGCAAAGAGGAGCCAGTCTGGGATTAGAGGAGGGTGGCATGGAGCTCTCAGATCCCACCACCCCAGCTGATCCTCTCTCTCTTTTTTTCCTTCTTGGGTCCATTGGACCCGGAAAAGTTCAGGAATTCTGAATATTTCCTGAATCCAAATTCCATACCAGTACTGGGATTCAGGAATATTGGGAAATACCGATATTTTGGGGGTTTAATATACCAAAAAATAGTGGCTGGGGGTTTTTTTTGTGCAACCCCTACACCCAGCTCTGAAGGCCCTGACTCAGTATAACTGCTAGAACAGTGGCCATTGGGATACGTGAGACAGGGTCTTTTCAGTGGTGGTCCCCATTTTTATGGAACCCACTCCTAAGGGAGATGCACCCAGCTCCACCATTAGTGAGATTTAGTCAAAGGGCACTTGGTATTATGTCAAATAGCAACAAAACCGTGTCATTTCTAAAAGTTCTACCATGCAACTCCTCCTCCCTTCACCAAAAGCTTTTGGAGTTGCTTCCAAGTTAAATCAACAAATCAACCACAAATTTTAAAAATCTGGTAAATAAAATATTTATCAAAGTGTAATACAACAATAACTACATCCAGTATTCAGCCACATTCAGGGGACCACACAGAAGCACACAATTAGTTAACTGATTAACCAAAAGCTGAAGTGAACAAAAAAGTCCTGGCTACAAAACCAGGTACTGAACATAAAGCTGTGGACAGGAAGTGATGTAAGCTGGGTGCAAACACAGAGAAGGCCCTGTGAGACACCCACCTAACTTCTAACTTGGGAAAGCCCTTTACAGAACAGTTTAGTTTCTGCTGTTTTCTTCATGATGCACTTTTCGTATGTTTTAAGTGTATTGTTTTTCTGCTGTTAGCTTGAGCATGGGTCGTAAAAATGTATGTATAGTCAAGGATCCTGGGCTATACACGCAGAGACCCATGGAAGAGTGGAATGTATCTTCAAGTGCAGAGCATCCAGAGATGTCTCAGCTAGAGTTGCCAACTCTGGGTAGGGAAATTCCTGGAGATTTGGGGGCAGTGCCTGAGGGAGGACTTCCGTTTCTCTGAAGCTGCTATGTCCTACAGAAGCGCTAATTTCTGTAGTCAGTCAGTCAGTTTATTTCTACAGTCCTTAGACCAGTCATACAAAAGAAGTACACCTTTACGATATTCCAGGGTTTTACAATACATCAGTAAAACATTAAAAGCGGAATTAAAATTTAGTCTGATATCAAACTGCTATATCTAATTAGCTACCTTAAAAATTTCCGTGATCTGGGTATCACCATATGGAAACTGGCTACCTGGTATGTAATCTTGGGATTTCTATCAGATAAAAGAAACTCGAGTCCAGCTTTTTCGGAGAGGCCCAGGATTTGTTCGATCAGCGGAGTGATGATTCTATTGCATGCCATCTTACAATATGGGCATCTAAAAACATGTGCTCTGTAGTCTCAACCTCCCTTAATGGGCAGGTGACAAAGCCTTTCTGAGAAAGGAAATTTCTGTAGTCTTGATCAGCTGTAGTTCTAGACCCCTCCTGGAGGTTGAGAACCTCAGTGGCAACTATTCCTGTTGCCTCTGCAATATACCACCTGTTCCTCCAGCGCACCCATCATAAAGAAAGGCATTTTGTTTATTCTAAAATGGTACTTGGCAAGCAAGGCGTTAATGGGCAATGGATATATATATATATATGCTTTGCATTTCAGTACATCATATTTAAGCATCCCCGGTGGATCAAACCATCAGTCTTGTCAAGTCTCTCATCCAGTTTCACACAGTGGCCAGCCATGTACCAAAGCTTTTCCTGCGGCTGACGGCCTCTCATGGATGTTTCCTCTGTGAATTTGCCTTTGAAAGCCAACTAAATAGTGGTCGCCACTGCATCCAGAAGCATGGGAAACCCCCCCCCCACTTAATTACTCACTGACTGAAGCAGTAGAGAAGAGTAAGAGTCCAGGAGCACCTTAAAGACTAACAACATTTGTAGCAGGGGATGAGCTTTCATGAGTCACTGCCAGTGTTCCCTCTAAGCTGAGTTAGTGTGAGCTAGCTCACCATTTTTTAGCCTCCGGCTCACACATTCTTGTCTTTGCTCAGGAAGGATGGCTCCAGAGCAAACTGATTTATGCAGTAGCCAAATCGCTCGCTCACAACTTTAATGCCAGTAGCTCACCAAGTAGAATTTTTGCTCACAGGACTCCACAGCTTAGAGGGAACAACTGCTCACTTCTTCAGGTGCTTTAAGGTGCCACTGGACTCTTACTCTTTTCTATGGCTACAGACAGACTAACATGACTACCATTTAGGGGTGTGCAGGGGGAAAAAATTCAGGGTTTTTTCCAGATTGGGTATAATAAAGCTGATTTTTTCGGTATCCCCGAATATACCCAAATACCAATACTGGTATTGTATTGGTACCTGAAAATATTCAGTATTTCCAAAAAAATTCAGCTCCATTATATCCTATGGGACCATTGCAGTCAATGGCAAAAATCTTCTAACAAGTATTCAGGGGGATGGAGAGGAAGGGGGTTGAGGCAGAGGCAACAAAGTTGTACTGTAGCTGCTGCAGCCTCTCCCCAAAACAACCCCCAAGTTTGGAAAAGGTTGGACCAGGGAGTCCAATTCTAGGGGCATCCAAAGAGGGTGCCCCCAATCCTCCATTGTTTCCTATGGAAGGGGGAAAAGACAGACAACAATGTCTCCCCAATAATCTCTGCATTAGAAAGTAATTGAGGTGTGCTGTTGTGAGGGGCATGTTTGCAAGGTCAGCAGCAGAACCAGTGCAATGTGCCCACCAGAACCAGTGCCACTGTGGCAGTCAGTGCTCAAACCCAATGGGACTAAGGTCAATCTGAGGATCTCTGCAGTATAAAAGGGTGGGAAAAGACGGTAAGTGGAGCCCTTTAAAGTTTAAAGTATCTCAGAGCCTGTAATCAGCAATGCCAAAAAAAGCCGGAAAACCCACAAATATTTTCAGTTTTTTTCGGCATTCAGTATTCGGCAGCTGAATCAGATCAGGGAATCTGATTCGGTATGCTGAATACCCGAAAAATTCCAAAAAGGTTTGGCTTTACCGAATGCACACCCCTACTATCCTTATTGACGGATGGGCATATTTTTGTCTTCATTGATTCTAGTCCTCATCCAACTTCACTGGTTTTATGGGACATGTAGAAAAAGTTCTTTTGATCCACTCTCTTCACCTTGTGCACACTACACACCACTATCATTTCTGCCTTCAGTTGTTTTTTCTTGAAACCAAAACCTGCTTAGACTCTCCTAGAAGGGAAGATTCTCCAGTCTCTTGAGCATTCTGGTTGCCCTTTTCTGCACCTTTGCCAATGCTATGACACCTTTTTGAGATATGCTAGAATTGGAATCCATTCAGTTTTCCACAGAGAATTCACATGAGCCACTATTGAGCCAGCCCCTATGCATACATCCCTGCCCTTTCCTCATGCTATAAAAATGTGGGCTTTTCCTCATGCTTGACTTACACTTGATTTTCCTGGCAACCACAAGTATTGGAATCTGTCTAGGCATAGTCCTTCAACATGTCTGCACTCCCTCTGTATTTTCACAATCATGGAGTCTGTTTATTTTCTTCTGCATGTGCTCTCAATAATGAGGATTTTCAAGGGAGGGTGCTGATGTCATTGGTGGTATCATTGGTGGCATCAGAGCACCCCCCTTTTTTAAACAAAAGGAACTAAAATATTGATATATCACAGAAGCATTGTATCAATAGGCCTAGCAGGTTTTCTGAATTCCCAGCTTTCATTTAAAAACGGTAAGTCTCATATTCTCGGATCCTGCCTTATTACACAAGCCGATGGTTCTAAAGAGATAGTGAACAGTATAGGTGACAGAGGACAACCCTGACGGGTGCCTCTAGATAGTTGCAAATCATCAGATCTGAAATTGTTAATGGAAATTTAAAACTGAAGGTGATTGGTAAAGAGCTAGACAATGGTTGTCAAAGCTTTGGAACATGATAGTAATGGATAAGACAGCATCTCAATTATTAGCTGCAGAAAACCCACTGGAAAATTCTAATTTTGTTGAAAAGTGTTTCACATTTTTCTTATATATATCAGCAACAAATACCGAAGATGATACCTTACCTGCTAAATATGTAGATTTTATGTTTTATTAAATTGTTTAAATAAGTGTTGATAATAGAACTAATGAGTATACCATATATTTGAAGTTATATTGATACCATTGTTTGCTCCCGTTTTTATTGTTTATTTGTAAAGTTATCAAAAGTTGTGAATTTGTAATGTTTTTGAAAAGTTGAAATTAAAAATAAAGTTATATAAAAAAGGTAAGTTTCTAGCCTTTTCCCTCACAGAATTATAAGGAAAAGGGCATATCTCTGTGAGGGGAAAGGCTAGAGACTTACATGGAAAGAGCTGGAGACTTACTTTTTGAAAAAGAAAAGGTAGGATTCAGAGAACCTGCTAAGCCTATTGCTACAATGCTCCAGTGATATATCGATATTTTGATGCCATTAAAAAAAGAAGAAAAAAACAGTAATCTTCAGGGTGGCAGTGGGGAAAGAGAGTGGTTCATGACAGTTCAGTCATCAAAAAGTGGGCTGGAGGTGGGTGGGAGAGACAAAGAAAACCAACAGGAACATTATGCACGAGGAAAAAGCCAACACAAAACCAGGTTCCAAAAAAAGATCGGGGTATAAGGGG